CCAAATGCTGTCAGTTGTGATGATCGAATTTTAACTACCAAAAACTCAATTATCGGAAATACAGTTACTTAAGAGGAGAAAGGAAAAAAAGTTTTACGTTCACCACCAATTTAGTCTTTCAGCATTTTCTCTTGCATTAAAGTTGCAAAGCCTCTTTTTTTCAACTGTTTAATATAAGTGAAATTTTGCACAAAGTTTTTTCTTTTTATTCCATTTTTTTTTTTACTAGTAAAATTCAGCAGTTACTCAAAATCGATCAAATGATTCTGAAGATAGTATATACTAACTGGTTTATAGAAAGATTTTGGTTGTTTTTTTGCCTGAACATCTGAAAATTTTAATTATATCAGATAACGTCCTATTTTTCCGGCTTTTTCCTATGTATTTTCGTGAGTTTTGTAAATACTTAAGAAACTAAAGAACAAAATGACTTTTATTTATTTATTTTTTTGCTATCAACTGTATCACAAATAAATTTCCGTAGATTTGACTTTCTTTGCCCTTTTCAAATATTTACCTTTTTGTTCTATCTGTTTTATCTTAAAGTTTTTATTTATTTTATTCCTCTCATTTCTTTAAAAAGCCAATTAAACAAATAGCAATGGTTGAGTGAAGCTTTAAACAGAAAATGACAGAAATGAAGTTGAGGTAACAGTCGCCGTCAACTTCTGCCATCATTCTTCTATTTTTCTGTTCTTTTAAATCCCTTTTTTTTGCATTCTTTTGTTTTTCTTCCTCTCTCCCTTCTGTTCTTTTAATTCTTACTGCTTTTGGCCATCACAACAAGCTTTTCACAAAATCTTTAAAAGAATAAAAAAGAAAAGAAAACAATGAAGAACGATGAAAAAAAAATTTTTTTTTACATTTGGAGATCCGAATAGGCGAAAGATTATTTTTTGTTGACTGTATTACCAGCCGGGTACAACTGTTTTCAGTTCTGGTGAAGCATATATATTGTGCAGTGGGCGATAGGCTTCATCCTGTAATCAGATTAACCATTGTGGTTTTGCTGACCTTTAAATAAATTCTACTTAAAAAAAAAAGAGACAGTTTCTATTGCAATACCTATTTTGTATCCTAAGCCTGTCACTCAGTTTTTTTCTCCACCAAATTTCTTCGAATTATTTGACGCAAAATTATATACTGACATTTTTCAAATCAAAAAAAAAACTTTTCGTAAACAACAACATTGGTCAACTAAAAAATATTGGTTAACAAAAAAAAACAGAATCTATTTAATTTTAAACATAAAAAATGAATTAAATTAAATATAAGTGGCTTAAATTTGTATACCTGAGCTGCAAGTGGCATATTTGGAGAACTGTGTGGAGGCCGTAAACTGTCTTCAATATAACTGGTCTCTGAAAAAATTGGCGAAGAATTCTATGTTAGTTTTCTGAACAAAAAAAAAATTGTACAAATAATCATCAAATATGGTTAATTTTATAAAACTTGTTAAATTTCATCTTAATTGTTGTCTAAGTAAAAATTGCAGAAAAAATTATGCACTGACCACTAATCGGTGTATCGACCGGAATTCGATGAGCATCTGGGGGCATAATAAAGGCAGGATGAGGTGCTATACTGCTAGAACCAGAACTATCCGGTCGTTGATAACCGTCACAGAAGTACCGTAGAGGTGCTTGACCATAGAATCCATCACTTGCAGCTTCTAAAGAAAAGAAGTTTTTCAAATACTACAGAATTAGTCTTTCCTGTAACAAGTAGCAATTGTTACTAACCAATTATACAAACAAATCTGTAAACATATCTGTTTCTGGTTTACTTTTCAAATAAAAATTTATGTAAAAGAAGGACGAAACTTTTGTTGGATCAAAGAAGCAGTATTAAATCATCTATGTTAATGCTGTGCTTAACATACTTTAATAAAATATAATAATCTGTTAGCTTTTGTTGCTTAGCAGTAATAAAAGTCTAAGAATTATACAGAATTATAAAAATTCTCTTTACTTTTATACTTTTGTATAATAGCGCACTTGTCTTCTTCCGTACAATTATACCGTTTTTTTTTAGACTTTTATTGTTAAACTACAGTAATCTAATAAAAAAAAAAAAGATTTAATTGTATTAGTCATAGATTAAAGGGGGGAAAGCAGAAAACATCGCTAAATTTTATTGAGTATTCCAATAATTGTTCTGTTATCTTTTTTTGCTTGTTATCGTTTTTGTTTTTTTTTCGCTTTCTAGACATTGATTCAGGTCAACAGGAAAGAAGATAAAGAAAAAGATGACAGAAGAAGAAGAAGAAGAAGAAGAAG